GGACTTAACACCTGATGAAATAAAGCTAATTCAAAAACGTTCACAATTACGTACAACGACTAAAGCAGAATTTCTTAAACGTTATAGAAATCCATTTTATGCTAGTGTGCCTGGTCATTTTGTAAGTAAATGTGACTAATTTCCTATCTTTCAATTGTTTTTTATTTTGATAAGGTGGACCCACAAAATACTCGTCTTTATGCTTATCAACAAAATAGTTATCGTTATTTATATTCGTCACCACGTATACTTCTTGCGCCTGCACTTTTCCTTCTAGCTGGCGGATTACTTCAATATTTTGCACAGAAAAAACGAGTAATTTTTTCAAAGATTAATTTATTTCTATTTTATTAGATTCAATATAATAACGATTGTAATATTGGAAAAATTCCATATGCAGATCGACCAGACTTTAAATCTTATTTTTAAACGAGCTATCTCAAATTCTCGTCATATTTTTCTTTTTCATCTTGGTAGATTTGATTTTCTACCTTCTCTAGATAAGGAAAAAAAAGAATCTGTTAAAGTTTTTCTTGTTATAGATATAGACTGGAGCTCATGTCGTTTGAAAGTAGCTGCCAAGACCCAATTTTACCGTCCGACACAAAACATATCCTAGTAAAGATTTTCAAATATATATTTTTGAAAATTTAAAAGATACGCTCTTTTTTTTTAGCATCATGGTCTCAGTGTATTCACTGCCGCTCTATTTATCACTGGAGAAATGGCTGGTACGGGTCTTTTAGCATTACCTAAAGCTATGGATCAAGCCGGATGGTATGGTCTTATATCGACTTTTGTTTTATGCATGTTATCTGGTTATTCTGGTATTAGATTAGGTGATTGTTGGACAATGTTAAGAGAAATGAATCCAGTTTATTCTGAAGAAGGTAGTCGATCACCATTTCAAGTTATAGCTACTGAAGGTGCGGGTCGTATTGGAAAGTAAGTTAATTTTAATATTTATTTTTTAAATGAAAATTTTAATATTGATATATATATATATATATATAGATATGTGTTAATATTTGTTATTTATTTTCAACTATTGGGTGCAAGAATTATTCATCAGCGATGTTAGTAAAAAAAAGATAAAGAATATTATTATCTTCGTATATATTTGACAAGTTGATGAAGACATATTTGAATAGTCAAACAGGTGTTGTATTCTTACTTTTGGCTGCACAAAATCTTCAAAGTTTATTTGATGCTATTCATGCACATCTTCCTGTATGTATATGGATTATTATTGTTGCTGCTCTTCTTCTTGGTCCATGTTGGCTTGGTACACCAAAAGACAGTTGGTAAGATTTTATATAAAAATTATATCGTATAAAATCTTTACGAGTAGAAATTATAATGAAATAAGGCATTTTAGACTCTGAATAAAATCTGTCGGACTCGAATCTGAAAATTTTCTATCTAATTGGGTCCAAAAATAACCGTTAAATTCTTAGATAGATACAATAATTTTTAACATATTCTGAGAAATTTTCACTATTGAATTACTGAAATTAAAGATGTTACATATTTTAATATCTAAAAAAAACCGATATTATACATATCTACTAAAATCTTTATTCTCACGAATGAAAATTTCTCGACATAGATTTAAGAATTTTTGTATCTATGTGATGATTTAACGGTTCGAATTCTTTTGGAATCGCCAAACTCTACTGGTGAAATTTGTTCAATAATGCACTTGTACCTTTATATCTGTATATTTGAGATGAAACCTTTCGAAAGTTTTACCTGTGCTTTGACCAGACTATTAGATTAACATATACTTTTTGTTAGATATTTTACTGTTTAATCATCTCATCAGAAAAAAAAAATCTGTTGAATATTAATCAGAAAAATTAATTCATCTCTTAATATATCTCTACTATTCAATGATTATCGTGAATTAGACTTCAACAATATTTTTCTGTCGACTTTTAATATCATCGTTTTGTTCATTGTTTATTATACAATTCTAATAAATATTCTATATTAAAACTTTTGTTTTATATAGGCCTATAGCCATTGGTGCAATGGTTTGTACAGCAATTGCTTGTGTATTTATAACTATCAGTACTCTTATTCATTACCGAACAATTCAGCGATATGAACCAAGTACAGTTACATTTAAATCATTTTCATTTTCAATGGGAACTATGTTTTTTGCATGGGGTGGATCAGCTATGTTTCCCACAATACAAGTTGACATGCGTCAACCACATCGATTTCATGTAGCAGTACTTATTGCTTATTCAATTTTATTAGTTTTTTATTTACCTGTATCAATTGTTGGATATGTTGTTTATGGTTCCAAGGTACAAGATAATATATTGAAAAATTTACCAAAAAATTTTCTTCGTTATACAGTCGAAATATTAATCACTGGTCATTTAGCAACAGCATTTACAATAGTATTAAATCCAATATTTCAAGGTTTTGAAGAATTAACACATGTACCAAAACATTTTTGTTGGCAACGTGCTGTATTACGTAGTGGAATTGTTTTATTTTTAGCATTTATGGCAGAAACAATACCACATTTTGGTGCTATACTTGCATTTATTGGAAGTTCAACTGTATCAATATTAGGTTTTATATTACCGGTGGTTTGTTTTGTTATGATTAAAGTTCACTCAACTCAATTAGTTCATGAAAAATTATTTGAGACTATATTTAGGTAAGAAACTCTATTTCTTTTCTCAGTATAATCAATTTGTTTTTTTCAATCTTATTATTCCATTGTATTATTCATGCTTTTTATATGAATATACAAAGTAATCATGTAATATGTTGAAAATAATTTTTTATTTTTAATGTTTAGGGTGTTACCAAAATGGGATATTACTTTATTAGCAATTGCATTACTTGTTGGACTTTATGGTGCTTTAGCATCATCTTATTCATCATTTTCTGATTTGATTAATCCAACTTCATATGTAAAACCATGTTGGCTTAATTCATCATCAGCTGACGAAAAACCTTCGAACTTATCATTATTTTAAATTAATTAGAATTTTTTAATTGCAATGAAATTTTATTTATTTTTTTTGTATTTGTAATTATAATTGTTTTTTTTTGTTTTGAATGTGATACGATTTGTTTTTTTTTATTATTATTTTAATATATCTTTTTTATTTATTTTTTTTTAAAGATTAATGTTAAGTCGAAGTAAATTTAATCGTTTCACTCGAAATGAATATTTACGAGAGATCATTATTATTATTATTGTTATTATTATTATTCATATTTGTAATACATACTATGAGTATACTGGTAATCAATATATATTGATAGATAATGATCATTTAAATGAATTTTGTCCATTATATCCTTCTACTCTTCAAGGTAAATTGAATGTTAATGGAATTCAATTGTACTTTTTTCTTTTCTTTAAAATATCTATGTAATAGGAAGTAAAGAAGAAATTATTATGTTAGAAAAAGTTGAATGGTCAGATAATCCGAATGTACAGATAGGTATGAGAATATATTAGATTTTATTATTTGATTTTTAGCAAAAAACAACAAAAATATTTTTTAGGTGGAATCTATTCACCCAATGATTGTAAATCTCGACAAGAACTTGCTATTATTATTCCATTTCGCAATAGAGAGTATCATCTTAAATTATTATTAAAATATCTTCATCCATTTCTTCAAAGACAAAAACGTTCTTATCAAATCTTTGTTGTAGAACAGGTTATGGTCTATAAAGTTCTTTTCTAATGATAAGGATAAAATTTAGATATACTTTTGTAAACACAAAAAAAAAAGAAAAACTAATATTTCAAATCAGTACAAATTTCGGATAGTTATGATTGAAAAATCTAAATATTTTTATCTGTATAGTACAATAATCAAAATGATAACCTATATTTATCGCTTAGTTTATTTACAAAAATCACGCAAATATTCTTAAAATATATCTTTTATATCATTAATATGAAATAGTTAAAATTTCTTTCTGAAATTTATAAATAAATATTAACTTAATCATTAAAAATTGTTTAGATAGGCAATGTTACATTTAATAAAGGTATAATAATGAATGTTGCATTTCAACAAGCTTTAAACATTCGTTCAACATTTAATTGTTTTATATTTCATGATGTTGATTTGGTACCGGAAAATGATTATAATGTTTATGAATGTGATCAAAAAGCACCAAGACATTTATCACCTGCTGTTGATGAATTACGTTATGTGTAAGTAGTAAGTTTAAGATTTATTTAAATAATCCAATTCAATTTTTGAATGCTTGTCTTTTGTCTTAAAAGATTAATGTATAATCATTTGGTTGGAGGTGTTTTAGCATTAAGTGAAGAACAATTTATTTCAGTTAATGGATGGTCAAATTTATATTGGGGTTGGGGAGTATGTAGAATTTTATTTTTAATATAATAATTATTTCTTTGGGTTTTTTTTTGTTATAGGCAGAAGATGATGGTAAAAATAAAAAGAGGAAAAAAAAATTTGATTATTTTAATGATCATTTATTTTAGATATGGCACAAAGGTTCGTTATGGTTTCTTAAAACTTTTCTAAATCAAGAAATAAAATTTATTTGTTCATTTAAATGAGAGATTCAGAAAAAAAACCAACGTTCTTATGATTAGATTTTGTTTAGAATACGTAATTCAAGTTATCGTTTAAGTCGACCGCCAAATCATATAGGTCGTTATAAAATGATTCGTCATGAAAAACGTGAACGTGCTGTAAATCGGTAAGAAATATTTTCTATTATTTTTCAATCATTTTTTTTTCTTATTAAATAAATTTAGTCATCAATTACTTCAAGGTTGGACTCGATATTTACACGACGGTATAAAACAATTAAATCAAGTTGATTATACAATAGAAAATATACATAAAGAAAAATTATTTACTCATATTTTAGTTAATATAACACGTTTATCATCACATAAATTAGAATATTTACTTCAATAAAAATCTCTTCTAGTTTTATTTATTTTTCTAGATCATTTAAAAATTAAAAAACAAATGAGTTCAATTGATTTAGATGACGATCTTATTTTTTTTAATATAGGTAAAAATTTTCTTAAGTTTAATTTTTTTTCTTAAAAGAATTTTTTTAATTAGATTCATTAGATGATGATGATGATGATGACGATGAATATTATTCACGTACAAAATCTGATTTATTAACAAATGATTGTACATCAGTTGATCGAATTCAGTCAACATCAACTATGATATCAAATAATAACAAAATGTCAGATATAACTGATTTACTTGATTCAACAGAATTTAATGATAAACAAGAAAATATTGATTTAATATCAACAAATGTTGTAGATTATTTACATACACATAATTTACAAAATGATCGAGATAATTATGAAAAACATCGATGGGAAACTGAAGAAAATTATTTAAAATATGGTAAAATAAAAAAATATTTTTTATGAAACACGATCTAAGAAGAAGCGTTGAAATGTACGGATAAAAATTTGAACTCTCCTCCTCCCACAGACAGACATTATCATGGAATCAATGTCTACTATAAGATTAGTATGATATGGGGTCTGATTCACAGAGATTTTTCCTTCAGACTAGGCAGTCTGAACTCTATTCTTTCTAGCAAAAAAAAGATTTCTCATGTTAAAAAAAGAAACCGTTCAAAAAATCAGATTAAAATTGATCTTCCGGCAATAATCACAAAAATCGATTAAATACGCTACGTTTTGATTAAATTCAATAAAATAATAGATGAAAATAGATTTTTTTAGGCAATAATCAATTAAAGCCGATTTTTCGACAAATAATCTATTATCCCTTAAAAGTCGAATGTCTCTTCCAAGGGACATTGCGAAAATCTCAATAAAGCATGCAATAATAGTGTGTATACAAAACCCTTTCTTCTTTTCGACTAGTACGACTTTATAGATTATAAAAAAAGAAAAAAAAATCAATTCAAAGTAACTGTTAGACGAAATAATGACTTCTTAAGACTTTTGATTTTTTAAATTTTAGTTTTTCATTTTAAAACATCTTTTCGTTGATAAGTACTAGAGGAAGATTTGATCTTTTTAATTGATTCCGCGAGGTAGATCGTTGAACTATCGAATGATACAATCTCACAATGTTTTTATCAATGTTTCAGTGTATTATGATGTGATGAAGGAAATGTCCCTTGAGAGAGACATTCGATCATGACGGACCGAAATCTTTGATCACCCTATAAAAATGTCAGAACTTTTGAAATATTGCATGTACAAGCTTTTGGACTAACTGACACTTGACTAGTGATTGCATCGAGTAGAGTAAAGATTGGGAGAATTCACCCTCTCACCCCCCCTCACCCCTCCCCGACAAGATCATAGCTTTATTTACGAAATTTTTCTAATGGAAGTTGACAAAATCTCTCAAGGTTTTAAAATTACCTAATTTGTCTTTCACGTGATAATTTATAATCAATTTGGTGATTTGTGATTATCAACGTGTTTGGAAAGAATGACTCTATTCCTATTTTAGGAATGATTACAGAAAACTTGAAAAACAGTCATACTAATTTATAAAGGAATAGAATTCCCATAAGTGTTTTATTTTAATATTTAATGAAGTGGCGCTTTTTCTGTTGGTTATTGTATCTTTTAAAATTCATCAGTATATATGAAATTCGAAGTTCCACTAATACTTCATCACAGTGCCGAAACAAGGATTTTGAGCTGAAGGGGCACTGAGCCACTTCTATCTCCCAAGTATATTTTTGGAAAATCTCGAAGGAGAAAGGAGTGCTCAAGGTCGCTAAGGGAGTCTAAGCCTCATCTTCAAATGAATGAAATACATGCGTCAAAGATTTTGCCAAGGAAAATCAGTCCCGTGATTCCTCAACTGTTTCATGGTTGAAAAACAATTCGAATATGTCAAAAGTAATGGAAAACGATTGTTCAGATGACGATTCGTGTTATTCAATCAATTCATATATAAATGATATTAACAGTGATGACGTTGAAGAAGGTCGTGTACGTGGTGAATTAGGTCTATCAACTGGAAGTGCTAGGAATGAGGGCGGTATAATGAATTGAAGACAACATGAATTGTGGTCAGGCAAAGTGTTAAGATCTAATCTACTAGATTATGATGGTGAATTAAATTACAGAGTGTTTTTGAACCTAAAGCAATTCCAAAATGCATCACACATTTATTGTTTCTGTTGTATTCCAGTCTAGAATCAGTTTCTTAAATAATTGGTCATGTTATTTGTTATCAATACTTCATTTTCATGATGACTCAATTGTGAAATTTAAAATCAAAAAGTTGAGCCAAGATTAAAATATTTTAATGAAAGATGTAAACTAATTATTGAACTAGAAAAAGGTCTTTTTATTCATAATCAAATAATAGTTTAGTAACAAATAAGAGACTTTCATATAGATATGACTATTTCTTAATGAAAATACATATCTTGATTTTTTTTTTATTAAAAGACTGTTAAAACACTGGTTTCTATTAATTTATGATGCCTGCAAAAAAATTAACAAAGCTATTCACTTGAAAATAATTTTTTCATATCTATTCAGAACAACGACAGATTTGAACCGCTAAGACCGAATGTTCCTATCAAGAAACATTTTATATCTCCTTATCAAAAAAAACAATTTTTTTTGTGTTGATTATAAATAATTCTTTTTCAGGTTCTAAAACTTCTATTTTCGTGGTAATTTTTTTCAATTTTTGACATTAAGGTCATCCGGCTTTTAAGGATTATGTCGATTAAAATCATGTAATTTTCCATCTGCCATAAATGTATGATTAGTCGATTATATTCTAAAATAATTGATTCAATTTTGTTAAAAAAAAATTGCTTGCAATTGCTGACAATCAAAGAAGATTGATTAAAGATTATATCATTGACTGTCAACAATCGATTAAAATAATGTTGTTGGCGTAGATTTTTAATCGATTGTTATCGGAATTAATCAAGGATATTGTGATTTTTTGGATTATTTTAGTGATAAAAATCGTTTTCTAATCGACTAACAATTGATTAAAAGCCTATGATTATAATTGATTTTCATCAAATAATTTGAAAAAAATCTATTATAATCGATTATTTAGAAAAATCTATTCAGAATAATTTTTTTTTTATTTTCAATTTGATTAAACTTGGATTATAATTGATTTTTAATTACAAAAAAAAAATCTATTATAATGAAATTTTTTCCTTTTTTTTTTTTTGCACATGAGTTTTGTACCATGCAACTAGTCACAATCAGGAATTTTTATTACGTCAACGTCTCGGAAATTTCATTTAGTTAATAAATAAAAGCAGAACATTTTGTTCGGGTCAATGACATTTCTTACATCTACACACGCAATGTCGAGTATACTATTAACTGTATATTAAGTGACATGTGTGTATTACTGAAATCGAACAGTGCTAACCATGTACTGAAATTACCATTGTAACTAAAAAGTAGTAATCGACCTCACCCTTTGAAATTGATTAGCGAGCAATTTTACTCTTGAAAGCTGATGTTAATAGATGATAGTCTTCGAGAAGTTGCAGTACCTACGAATATATCTTTGTCATTCGATTCAATAAGTAATTCAACGTATTTCTCATACTGTTTTTTTCAAATGATTTCGAAGCATAGTATGATAATTGTCCTTCACTTTTCACTGCAATATATATGCGATTAATATCTTTCACTACCGGCACATGCATTAACAGTAAGTCAGAATTTATAAACCAAAACATATATTGATTAATTTTCTCTTCTACAATTTCAACAACTCCATCGCGTTTCATATTGTAATCTTACAGAGATTGTTCTAACAGCTTTATTTTTTCTTTTTTATTCAATTAGGTTCAAAGCAATTATCACCAAGTGATTATTTAACTCGTACATCACTTTATAATCGTCCTGTTGCTTTTGAAAAAGATTCACGTTTATGGGCACGAAGTTTATTAGATAATTTTAAAAAATCCAATCAAAATTTTAAATCAAAATCATCATCATCTGCTAATATGACTTATTATTTACCAGTTATTAAAAAATCTTCATCATTTGATCGTCATGTTCAATATATTGAACATTTAAATGAATGTAATGATTATCCAGCATATTTAGAATATTTACGAGAAAATCGTTCACAATTATTTTATACACTTACAGATTCAATTGATATTATTGATGGATTAATTGGAACAGTTGTTTAATCATTTTCAAAATATTGTTTCTCATGAGATTTTTCTTTCTTTTTTTTTTCTTCTTCTTCTATGATCAGATATTAGGCGTATTTTGCCTTCTTTGTTCTATCTTTCTTTTCTTTTTGTTTCAACGCGTTTATACCGTTGTTCTTTTTTCTTGGTAAGACGCTAGACTACGAAAGCTCTTTTTTTCTTTTCTTGTTATGAGTATATATTTTTTTTGTTGACTTGTACAAATTGTTAATGAAAAAATAAATCAGATACTTATCAGTGATTGGATATAAAAAGTAATTTATTAATTCAAGAAGACAATTGACTTAATAAGATGATAATCTACTATATATATATATATTATATAGAATAGAATAAACAAGTAGAAATACTAGTTTATTCGTGAGAATTATCAAACAACTGAGAGGTAAAAGCTAACTTTAATCGTGTTGTTTGTAAGATAGTTGAGTATTTATTAACTTTCAAAATTTTAAATTATTACATATTTTAATTTTCAATATGTGATAAAATATTTATAAACAAGATATTCGAAAAATTTGACATCAATATTCAGATCTCTTCTTTGTCACGAATGTAGATTTCATAAAATGAGTTCAGTGTTAGACAGAATGTTTATCGTTGATTTCTTCTCTTGGAAAATACAAACTTCAGAAACAGATCACAAAATTTTAATAGAATCTTGTAGTCATGAAAGTAAAACCAAATTCCATCACAATCCTACTGATGATTTTACTTTTTCGCTACATTTTTTTCCTTATGTTAACGAAAAGCACTAAACCGTCCAAATACGATTTGAATGCAAATCAATAGAAAGAATTCTATAAATCCACTTGGTTACTAACGAGGACACCTTTTCAACTTGATAATCACTTTTGAGTTCGGACTCTATGTCTAAGGTAGACACTCGAAAGATATTGAAAACTCCAAAAAGGGTAAGGACTCCTAAGCTTTCTCTACAAAGATATAGTCGTTGTACTAAAATTCTAGCCTATAGCACAGTATATACAAAAGAATCGAATAACGACTACTTCTAACTCGAATTTTCTCTTCATAAGACATTGAATTTCTAAAAAACATATAATTTTTGAATCTTTCGTGGGATATGAGTGATTTTTGGAAATTCAAATCTCATGAAGAGAATATTCGAATTACAAGTAAACTTATTCATAGGCAAAATTTCAGCAAACCGACTATAACTCTGTAGCAAAAAATTTAGGAGCTCTTATCCTTTTGGAATTTTTAATACTTCATTGAGATCTACCTTATGCCTAGAGTTTGAACTCAAACGTAATTATCAAGTAGGGAAGATTCCCTCGTAAGAGATTCAATGCTAGAAGATGATAATCTCTTGTTTCTTGTCTTGTTACCGAATCATAGAATTTCTGAATAAGTTTTAATTAGAAGTTTGTGCAAATATTAGTTGGTTTGTTCTACTAAAAATTCCTAAAATCTGAATAAGTTTAGTATCTCGAAAAGTGAATTGATAAGAACTAGAGAAGCTTTCTATTCATTTTAAATTAGCATTTCAAATCTTTCAAAAATCTCTGTATTCGTCTGCAACAACAACAAAGAAGAAAGGAGGGATTCATTATTGTTCATAGATCCGTATTTCCACATAATTTCAATATACTACTCTGTATTTCTATCTACGATGCAATTTTTTGAAGGGAAATATATTCTAATTTTCTACTTGGAAGGAATTTCAAGCTACACAATATGTTATTTATTCTTACAAAAAAAAGCAGCACATCATGTAAAAGAATCTAAGATTCTGATTTTAGTTTATTGTCTTTAACATTTACGATATTTTCAAGTGAATAAATTGCTCATATATTTTGTAACATAGTTTTTAACTTTTCTTTTATTTCATAAACATCTCATCTTGCATAGCCTAAAGGACCATAAATTGATCGAAATGAATATAGCAATGATGTATCAAATCAACTATATAATAGTTTAGAAGGCGGTCAATTTCTTTATCGATCAAATCACATTAACATTTATAATACTTATAAATTTTTTTTTTTTGTTTCTTAAATTTCATCGATTGTATTACTATATGTTCTTTGATATAGTTTCTTAGATTTATTGATGAAATATAATAAGATTTATTATTTATTTTCTAGGATATCCTTTATAATACAATGTCTACAAATACTATCTTAATTTGTTTGGTAATATTAAATTTTATAACAATCCATTATGGTAGGCAGATTTAATTTATACAGTTTGAGATACGGAATAAACAAAAAAAAAACTCATTGAGAATATATTTATAGTTAATTAGTATGTTGAGAGGATTATTAATAAAAAATTCAAGTAGAACAACTTAATTATTATTATTTATAAAATAAGTGATTAGATTTAAATCTTTCAAATAAGAAAATCAATTATTGATAATTTAGTTTTTATTTTCTTTCTAGCTTATCGTATAATTCCAAATAATGAACCAATACAAACATTATTTCGTTCATATGAATATAGTCCAAATGATGAACAAACATTGGTTAATTTATATAATTTAAAACAAGCAGAAGAACAAAATTTAGATAACTCTTATTTGATTCTTTGTCATCCAAGATCATCGCATATACTGTGCAATAAATTAGATAATTTTTCTCGTCGAGATACCGGCTTCTTACGTTTTGGTCGCAAACGATAATTTTCATTTTATTTTTTTTTTTTTTGAAAAAAACAAATAAATAAAATGGATATAGCGCCTCTTGCATTCTGCACACATGCATAATGAATCATTTCTCTATGTTTTGTGTTTTAATAACGAAAAAAAAAAAAGTACAAGAAATCAATTCATTTTTTCAATGATGACATCGATATTAAATTCGAATAAAAATTTTTCTTTTGTTCTTCCATCTTTCACCAGTCCAATGTGTGATAACAGAAGTGGTGGCGGTTTTTTTTTGCTCCAACTGGTTTATTCGGGAAGAAATGAACTCACATGCGTATGTTGATGAGAACGTTGCCTTGGTTTCTTTATTCCATTCTGCTTACCTTTACAACATTATATTATTGTTGATAGGAGCAATAGCTCGTTTTACTTTTCTATGTGTGACATAAACTTTTCTAATGAGCAAATGTTAGTAGTGTCTTATGTGTGTTTTTTTTCTTCTTAGATAGATAATTCTTTTTTTTCTTCTCTCGCTCGTCATATTGGCTACTAAGCGACGACACAAAAAAAAAAAAACAACAACACAGACAAAAAGAAATAAACTTATCGTTTTTACAAACATAATGTCCGAACGTAAAGAATCAGTTGATAGTTTTGATGAGTTTTTTGGTGTACCAAAGACAGATAATAATAAAAGAAAATCTTCAATTGCATCAAAACAAAATGATACATCAATCTCAGCAATTGTTAAAACTCAACCGATTGTTGAACGTTCTCCAACTCCAACTCCAACAACAACACCAGAAGAACGAAGACTTTCATCACCAAGCCTAAATCGTAAGTATTACAATTTGAAATGAATAAAAAAAAAAGTTTTTTGAATATTCAATTTTATTATTTCTGATAAGCAAAAGTAAATAATGCAAAAACACCATCAACAACAAATGGATATAAAAATATTACGCCGGAAACGTCAAATCGAGCTGAATCGGTCCAATCAAAAGCTTATGAATCAGGTTAAAAAGAAAAAAAAACAACAAACTTTTTAGTTTTTTTTTTGTGAATTCCAAAAATCTTTTTATTTTTAGATTTTGATAATGATAATGGTTTTGACGATGATGAAACAGTTGTTGAAAGTATACAAGAAAGAAATAAAACGCATGGCTCATTACCACCAACTCAACAACGTATATATGAAGTTCCTCGTCGTGGTAGTGATTCTGAATTAAAAAGTTCATTCACAACAACAAATCATAAAAAATCAACAAATCGAAATATTCGACGTAATGAATCATTTTTACCATCTATTCGACCACAACAAACTCGTCGTACAGGAGGTTATCCAATTCATCGTCGTAAAGAAAATTTATCGTCATCATCACCAAAAACTGAAATAGAACAACGTGCATTAGCAGCACAAAATCATAAAATAAAAACTCTTGAATCTCGTCTAGCTGAATTACGTCGTGAATTAGAAGTTCAACGTGTTGAAAATGCAACATTACGTACAATACAACGACGTGAAGAAAAAGCCATTAAAAAATATGAAGAAAAAGAATTTGATATACATCGAGTTGTACGTGATTATGCACATGAAATTGATTATATGAAAGAAGTTTTATCTAATGAACGTGCAGTTAAAATAAAACTTGAAAAACAAATTGAAGTTCGTGAAGAAAAATTACGTGATCAAACAAACCGTATGAAAAACTATGAAAAAATTGTAAAAGAAAAAAATCTTGATGAACGTTATGAATTACGTGAAAAATTAAATGAAACAGATAAAAAATTACAAGAAGTTCAAGAAAAATTAAATAATCAAGTAAATAAAAAAAAATTTGTTTAATAAATATCTATATATAATAATAAATTTATTATTTTGTAGGAAAAATATATTGAAAATTTAGAAAAAAATCATCGTCATGAAGTTAGTCATGAAATAATAAAACAACGTGAATTAAAACGTCGACTTGAAGAACATTCACAAAAATATAATGATTTATTACTTAAATTTGAAGATAAAACACGACAAATTGATACAATGCATATTTATGTACAACGTGGTGGTAAACGTCGATCAGATTCACCAACAAATTTATCAAAATCACGTTCATTACAATCACTTCAAGAAACATCATCACATTCACGTGAAAAAACAAATAATTATGATAAAAAACGACGTGAACAACAAGAACAAGAAAAAAAATCAAAATCACAACAACAACAACAACAACAACAACGATCTTCTTCAAATGATTCTTCACCAAAACATGAAAAGAAAAAAATTATTACACCGAAAAAATCATTACAAAATACAATGACAACTACAAAAAATTTATCAAATGATGAAAAATCATCAACAATACAAAATGGTAATATTTTTTAAATAATTACATATACAAATAGTTAATCATTAGAATTTAGAATAAGTTTTTATTTTTTTGTTCAATTGAAAATAATTGAACGTATAGAAAAGTCTTATTTGCTATTTAGTATTAATATCCAATTGATCAGATATCGAACACTTAAATTTAATTTTCAAAACCTACACGTTTTCTATTTTCATTGTATATTTTATTTACTCAAGATAAGGACACAATATTCTTCATATTTTACAAGCTCGCAGCATCACTTTGTCGATCTTATAAAAATATAGTCATCTTAGTTAATAGATGTCTAATAATAGACTTTTCTATTTCCTGTAAATAGTTATAAGGGAATTAAATGAAATTAATATAATGAATGCTGATAAAAATGGAAAGTAAAATATGACTATTATAATAATTTTATTTCGTTTTATTTTTATGTAATAACTTTTATTACGTTTAAAATATTTTAGTTTGAATAGGAACTTCTTTTTAGTGAAAGAATTTTTAAATGTTACATCTACTTATTAAAATTGTCTTCTTGAAATATATTTTTTTCTCAATAATAGATCATTTGCCACCCAAAGGAAAACCTCCGACGCGTCGTCTCTCAACACCAAAGAGCGTTGATGAAGACAAAAATGAATTAGATAATGAAGATATTTTTGGATCAAAGCCTAAGAAATTACCACCACCAACAACTATTCAGCGAAGTGAACAACATCTATCCCATACACAACTTCATAAACGTCCCATAGCACCTATTCCACCAGCAAATGAATCAAAATATAGTTCATCAGGAACTGGTGGAAATACATCATCTTCAATTTTTAAACTCACTGAACCACCAATGCCATCAAAATCTCGTACAACACGCCAACTTGATGAAAAATGGTCGGACATGTTTGGAAGCAATGAAAAAGAAGATTCAGCTAAAGAAGATCTTCTTGCTAAATTAGTTGCTGATGAACAACAAGAACGAAGACAAGCTGCTACTGCTGCTCAATCATCATCTACGAAAAATTCATCAATGACTATGTTCGAATCATCAACACGTTCAACAGTAACAAGTAATATTTTGTTTCTATTTAAATTATTCTTCATTTACATAAATGTAAATCTTGTGTAGCACAACCAACAACAACAATTAAACCATCTGCTGATCCATTTGAATCCCTTTTTAGTAATAATTCAAATAAATCAACAACAAATCGTAAAAACGATTCTGATGATATATTTTCAACAAAACCATCAAATCAATCAACAACACAAACTAAAAATGATCCATTTGAATCATTATTTGCACCATCATCTACAGCTAATAATTCAACAACAATCAATTCAAATTCAAGACAATATACATCACAAAATGACAAATTACAAAGACCAAAAATTGTTACAAATCCACCAAGATCAATACCAAATAGGACAGTCGTTGATGAAGTAGAAGAATTTGTTTTATAAACAAATATAATCGCTAAAATTTGTTTGTCTTATATATTACTTTTTTTCTTCTTTCGAAACGTATTATCGAACAGCAAATGAACAATATATAAATGTGCTTTAAGCATGTTGTGAGTATTTTCCTTTAATTTAAAATAGTTTTCTGTTCAATGCATTCAAAATATAGTAGAAGCTTAAATGGGATGCAACAAGTGAAGTTTAATAACAAAACGAAAAATTTTCAAAAACTAAACAGTCATTCCGTATCAAACGCTTGAATCTAACATTCATTTGTTAAAAAACGTTTCTATTCGCTTATTCTGTTGATTAGTAGCTTGTAGTATTAAAACATTCTGAAGTTTGATTTGTTGCATACAACATTCGTTCGAAAGTACTAGTTTTTTAAGTACTGTCATCACTGCTTGATTTATACTCGTTTGTTCATCAAGTAAACGATTCAATAAGTTAGACGTTACTGTTGTCACTCGTTGTGATGTGGCGATGTAAAACCATTATAAATTGTAACAATTATTACATAGACAGAAAAACAAAGTATAGACAGAACAATGAATCAATATTAAATGAAACAATATGTATTTCGGATAGAAACAACAGATCGTTTTTATATCGCTAAATTGAGCATGCCAAAAGTACATATCAGGAATTTACTTTTTAATGTCTATTTGCATATGGAATTAAATAAGATATATCTAGAACGTTCAAGAGTTTTATTTAAAGTACTCAAACAAATCTATTGGATGTTTCCAGTAAAAAATTTTTAACAATTAAAATTTCAAAATCCTATGGAAATAATCGAAATTGATAACCTAATTGTTGTACAATGGTATCCAAATTAGAATCAATCATAATTGATTAAGAAATCAGATTTTAATCAAGTATATCGTTCAGATTTTGTTTCATAATACTCATGCTGAAAATTCTTATATAATTGTTTGTATTTGTTTGTAAACAGTTTTATCGTTTTTCTTTTACACAAGAAATTGTCTATTCTGATTCTATGCTACCTGTTAATATGTTTCAACCTTTTATTACCTGTTAATCAATTTTAATCTGTTATTACTTGCTAATTGATTTTAATCATACACATCGGACATACATGCTTTTCTCGAGATTTGAATACGAAGTGCTAATTTTTCATGATTTATTTTTTAGATTATTCGTGTTAAGAAACCATAAAGTTGTCACCAAGCTAAAGTTCGACAAATAAAGTAAAGTTGAAACTGTTATATAAAGTGTTTCAAATTGAGTTGGTGCAATTACATCAGAAGTCAATTAAGCATTAAAAACAAAATTGATTAATCTTGTAAAATATAATTGAATTTCATAATATAACGAAAATAAGATTAGAATTACCTATCCATAATTTGAATTATTTATAACCCATGTTTATGATTCTAAAAACTTGCTCCCTATAATATATAGTCTAAACGCATAATAAAGAGGAAACAGCTAGTATGCACTTGCCTGTGCTATAAAGTGTATCGAAAACTGTTGTGACTGTCTGACTTCTCATCTAAGTACAAGTTATTCCCTTTTAGAGCTCGTCGAGTTGTTCCTTTACCCATACACGACCAGGTTCGGTTCGGAAAATTCCCTGTTAACCGGGTCCAGATACGACAAGACATGCTTGTAGGTAAAGGTTTTCTGTACTTCACTCACGCGCATCCGAGATCACCAACAACATCCACACACCCGTACTCCTTGTATCTGTCCGAATAATTTGGTTTTGTATACACCTTATTTATTTTTGATCAGCTCCTTCATAATTGATTGACAAGATTTAAAATAATTTTCGATGAAAATTAGATTATAACTGAAATAATCAATAATAATCGGTGAAGTAAATTATTTTTTCAATCGATTTAGAAGTTTTAAATCAATTTTTATCGAATTATCATGGAAAAAGTAGAGAATTCACACGAAAAAAATGAGATTTACATACACTAGTAATAACAAATAATTGAAGTCTTCTTAGGAATATTTTTCATTGAGTCGAGGTGTATTGATATTTACACATAATTTATTTCTTGTTTTTACGCCTGAACAGGCAAAAAAAAGCAAATATCACTCCGCTCATATGTGTTTCTTTCTTATATAGATGCAACATGCTCGTTGCTAAGCAAACAATATGGCAGTTGAGAAAAAAAATTAAAAAAGACTTTTAACAGGAATATTAAGAAGAAGAGAAAGAGGAGTTGAGAGGAAGGATATTGGGTTACGACAAAAAAAAAATAATTTGACACTATCCAATATTTGATCAATTAGAATGAGAATTCAATGGAATATGTCTGCTATATGTTTCATACTAATCTAAATGGATATGAAAGTTCACGATATGACCATGGGTGGCATACGGTCAGTTTTTTTATAGGAAATAATAACTTATTGTTTTCTCGAAATTTTTTATGGAAAGGCAATTGTACATATTATTCTGCTAATGTGCTACTCATGTCCATATGAGTAGCAAAGTGACTCTTAAATAATCTACGAAACGGAGGCACTTAGGAAAAGTAATTACTGCCTCTTGTAATGTTGATGTGCTGTCATAGGGTGAGTGTGGGTGTAGCTTAGAAGGAAACATCTACACCTGCATTCTAGGTTAGATAATTCTCTACGAAACAATGTTAAAAGCATCTTGTTAAACAGACGCTAATCCAACTGAAATGATTTATTGAGAAGAGTTTTATCGGTCGAAAAATACTCTGTCACTTTTAACTCTTTGAGGACGGGAATTTTTTTTTAATTGAAAAGTAGTTCTTCAATCAATTTACTGTGTTTGGCTCAACATGGTCACATAAAAAACTTATGATAATATATCACAAGAACATAGAAAGATATTATGACGTCAGTGTATAGCAGCAGAAGGAAAGAGAGAAAAGATATGCATGGAATGGCAGATGGGGCGAACTATATTACCTTACAGATCATAACAATTTAAAAGAGAGCAAACATTTTCTTTACCGGAAAATAAGTGGTACAAAGTTCGTACCATCGTCCCCAAAGGATTTACAATATGCGCATATTTTGTAATTACATATTTCTGAATTTTTGGATTTTTTAATTTCGTTAGAATTTATATAGTTATAAATAGTGATCTAATCATTAAGTAATTGCTTGTTCAATAGCTTTTAGTATTATAGATATTATGGAAGAGAACAAACAATTCCTGTTAATTATATATTAGATTAACCTAAAGATTTTCATTCTATATAATTTTTTCTCGTAATAAATGCTTTTTATTATATAAAAAAAAGTACTTTCGTTTATTATGTTATTAAAAAATTATAATAAAAAAGTAACATTAAGGAATTGATGTTTTAATATTATTGATGTTGACGTCTTTTCATTCTTACGTAAACTTATATACAAAAGTAAACGATAAAAAAAGTAGTTGTATTAAAGAAAGTATAAAAAATTATTGTCAAATGAAAGACATTTGGAATTCAAAAAATTCGAAAAGGAAATTTGTTTTTTTTTTGATTTACCATTAATGTTCTTTTCAAAAAAGTAATGGCGATGTTTCATCTGCATTCGGTTTTTCAAAAGGAGGACCAAATATACTTGCCTATAAAAATAAATAATAATAATAATAATAAAAACATAAAAAACAAATTTTAATAATATACTTTATATCGACGATAGGCTAGTAAAATAATTACAATAATAAATAAAACACTACCAATACCAAGAATAACATATTTCATAATATGAAGTACCATAATTGGTTTAGTTACTTTGTTATAAAATTTATCCGCATTAGTTTGATCGATTTCTGCATGCTAAAATAATAATAATAATAATAATAATATTTTTGTACTATCTAACATATTTGTTATTCTTGTGTACTCACTTCATCAATCCATATCATAGGATACACAAATGAATTTAGACGAGCAATAGCACTGAAATATTGCGATTATTATGTTAATCAAAGATAAATATTCATATATACCTTATGGCTGAATCATTAACAACATTTAGATTGATTTGTAATCTTCGAGATCCATTCATAACAACTAATATAGAGGAAAACAGAAGATATCATTGTTTTTTATTTATTTAAATAATCGAACACCTACCACCAGTAAGTGGTTCTATATCCATAAAACTACGATGTTTTATATCATCAGGTGTTAATCCATTAATACCATTTTGTATTGAAGAATCAGCAGCAAGAAAATGTGGATTTGATCCAATGATAGGTAATGGTATTGGTAGCACAATATTACTTACTAAATAGATAATAATAGTAATAATAATAAATATTTCTACTTAGAATGAATCGACATACAATGTATACATGATTTTAATGAAAACAGACCACTTGATAAACATTCTAATTCATGTGTTTTATTAGAAGTTGTAGAATTCAAACAAAAACCTTCATTTTCTGTTGATTTTGCAAATACACTATTTGGTGTTGTATAATGATAAGTTTTAATATTAAATTTATTCATATTTGTTTCATTAAAACCAAGATAAACTGATCGACAAATATCAGAGATAAATGCATAAATTCGTTCATTCTCTTTTGTATTTGGATGCCATATTGTACTATCCGTTCCATTGATCATATTTGCATATTCATTCGACCAAAATGGTAAACTTCTTTCAAAATTAAATCGTTCAATTTGACCAACATTATTAATACGTTCAGTATTATTTGTACCAGAACTAACACCATTATTAATTAAAAATGTATTCGATCCGGCTTCACGTACCTAGAATAAAAGACTTTCATTATTCTTTATCTAAACATCCTAAAATAACACTAAATGCTTTTGATAACGTTTTTCTTCATAATTTGAGTTTGTATTTCAATAGTTCTATGTGCTCTTACTGTATTAAAGCAAACGATTGTACAGTAGGACGATCCAAAAAAAAAATATTTTAATATCTCTCTTATGGTTCTATTGAATGAACTGATGATAGATTTTCGAAAAATTTCGAAAGTCGAAAAAGAAGTTCATTGTGTATTGAACCTGAAAGTGTCCTCTATT